CCGGCCGCGGCGGCCATTGGAGGGTGAACCAACGGCAAAAAGGAAGACCTTTCTCTCTGTCTCTCTCTCTCACTGTCCACTCTGCCTGTCAAAAAAAAAAAAAAAAAAAAAAAAAAAATTTAAAAAAAAAATTTAAAAAAAAAAAAAAAAAACTTACTATAAAGCTGCATAGTAACCAAAACAGCGTCGGGTACTGGTGTACAGACACGACATATAGATAATGGCAGACTAGAGTACAGAATAACTTTGACTTTTTTTTTTTTTTTTGACAGGCAGAGTGGACAGTGAGAGAGAAAGGTCTTGCTTTGCCGTTGGTTCACCCTCCAATGGCCGCCGCAGCCGGCGTGCTGTGGCCGGCGCACCGCGCTGATCCGATGGCAGGAGCCAGGTACTTCTCCTGGTCTCCCATGGGGTGCAGGGCCCAAGCATTTGGGCCATCCTCCACTGCACTCCCTGGCCACAGCAGAGAGCTGGCCTGGAAGAGGGGCAACCGGGACAGAATCTGGCACCCCGACAGGGACTAGAACCCGGTGTGCTGGCGCCACAAGGCGGAGGATTAGCCTAGTGAGCCGCGGCGCCAGCCATAACTTTGACTTTCATGTTGATTTGATTTTCAACTAACAATCCACAGCAATTTGACAGAAAAAGAACACTTTTTAATAAATGGTGCTGTCGCAATAAGATATACAATGCAAAAACAAAAACAAAAACAAAACAAAAAAAACTCAAGACGGATCATAGTCTGAATTATAAGAACTAAAACAACAAAAGTTCCAGAAAAAGAAGAATACTGTGAACTTAAGGTATGAAAAGATTCCTTAAATATGACAACAAAAGCACAATTCATAAAAGAAAACACTGAAAAACCTAAACAAATTCCTGAAATCACATCAGTTAGATAAAAGACCCAAAATGGCAGAAATTACTTATAAATCATATGTATCATGAAGAAATGGTATAACATTAAGCTCAACAACAGATAACAGAAGACATTTAGCCTAGTTGTTAGGATGCCTGCAGGCCACTTCGGAGTGCCAAAGTTCCATTCCTGCCTGAAGCCCTTTTATCCAAGCTTTCTACCAATTGAGGCCTTAGGAGGTAATGCTGGCTTAAGTAACTGGGATGCTGCCAGCACTTGGGAGAACTGGATTGTGATCTTGGGTCCTGGCTCTGGCCCAGCCCAGTCTCAGCTACTGTGGGCATTTATGGAGTAAACAAGGAAGTAGAGAATGCACATGATTTCTCTCTCTCAAATCAACAAAAAATTTTTACAAAGGGGTGGGCTGGCATTGTAGCATAGCAGATAAAATCGCCACCTGCAACACTGTCATCCCATATGGGCACCAGCACCAGTTCAAGTCTCAGCTGCTCCACTCTCTGATCCAGCTCCCTGCTAATGGCCTGGGAAAGCAGCAGAATATGGCCTAAGCACATGGGCCCCGGCTAACCACATGGGAGACCTGAAAGAAGCTCCTGGCTCCTGGCTTCAGGTTGGCCCTGTGCTGAACGTTGTGGCCATCTGCAGAGTAACCAATGAATGGAAGATCTTTCTCTCTCTAACTGTGACTTTGAAATAAACAACCTTTTTTAAAAAATTAAAAAGATAAACTAATACATATTTTACAAATAGGCTAAAGATTTAAAGGTGCTGCATCAAAGGCGACAAATGTTTAATAAACTCACAAAAGGAGGCCTATCATCACTAACCATTATAGAAGTGCAAATAAAATAACCAAATACCACTACACATTCATTAAAATAGCTATAATTTTTTTAAAAGAACTTTTTAAAAATCAAAGGTTGAGGAGGACAGGAAGAAATTAAATCCCAAGGTGGGCATTGGGGTAGTGGTTGAACACTGAGAAAGATGCCATGCCCCATACTGGAGCACCTGGGTTCATATATGGCTCCAGCTCTAGACTTCAGCTTCAAGATAACGCAGACCCTGGAGGCAGCAGTGATAGCTCAAGTAACTAGATTCCTATTATGTATGTGGGAGACCTGAACTGAATTCCTAGCTCCTGGCGGTAGTTCAGCCAGGTCCTGGATGTTGCAGGCATCCGAGCAGTGATCCAGCGGGTAAGAGTGCGCGCTCTGTGTGTGTGTGTGTGTGTGTGTGTCTAAGAAACAAAAATTAAGAGAAAGAAAGGGAAGCAAGGAAGGAAAGAAGAAAGAAGGCAGAAAAATATATTTTAGTCAGTCAAAGAATGAGTCTAACTGATATCTATTATCTGGTCTCAAAGCCAACAAAATACTTGCTTGCTTGCTTACTTACAGAAATTTCAGAACTGTCTCATGGGAGATGGTCATTTTGAAGAAATTACTTAGTGTAGGAGATAGGGAAATTGGAGTACTTCAATACATTTTAGGTTCTAAACAAAGTGCATTTTCCCCTGCAAATCTAAACAGTCTTTTCTCCCTAGTTGGTAAGTCATATTCACCATCAACAGCCAAAAGTATGATGAGAAATGCCTGCTCTACCTCCAACGGCAACGTTTCTCTGCCAATTAAATATTTCTTTATATTTACTGCATACTACTTCTATCTGAAAAAATAATTACACTTAAATATTCTCAAAAACTTTGCATTATAGGTAGGGCATATATTACTAAGCAATAACCACTGTATAGAGTTTATTATTTTTGAAGTTTTCAAGTAAGTTAGAAATGTTAATGATGTTCTAAATCACATTTTCTGTAAATATTCCCCGAGTACCTAGCACATAGAAAGTACTTGGAAAAGTGACTGTCATCATTTTATGTAATACCCATAGACTGAAAATCTTAGTTATGTGCTGCATCCTAGGTTAAATACAAACAAGTACATCTTGGGCTAATTCCTCCTCAACAGAAAATAAGAAGTCCCTCATGAAGATAAACTCACCTCAAATATGTCCCGTCCCACGGGACGTCAACTAGGGCCAAGCACCTAGAGGGAGAAATGAAGGGACAGGAGACACAAAGATGGCAGCAAGACAATTACATATCATAAAGGCAGGGTGTCAGGCGGGTGAAGGAGGGGCGTTTAGGAGGGCAGGACTTCGGGCGGGTGAAGGAGGGGCGTTTAGGAGGGCAGGACTTCGGGCGGGGGAAAGAGGGGGACTTATCTTGGGCACAAGGTCACACAAGGTTGCGTTATCAGTACTCTCCGGCCTGGGCTGTCTATCCCTGCCTCAGTAGTTTTCCACTAAGAGGCCACATGCTGCGTGGTCCCTGACACAGATACACTGTACCAATTCTTTCTCTTGGCTGAGGTTTCTGTTTAATGATCTGCTTGAGTATCAGTTATAAGTTGTACAATATGGAGGAAGCCAGGTCGGGAAAGATGACCTATTTGTTCATAACACACCTCCTTTAGAAGGATCATTCACCACACATAGAGGTAACAGACTTAGAACTAAATCCACACCACTGGTCCTTATGGTGTATTTCTTCTTTCTAATGTATATTTTTATGAAGTTTGGGGCTTCAATAATGCATTGATTTGAAGAATAAATATATTTAGTATTCATTTTTTAAGCAAAGTGAGCACTAAGTATTTGTTCAGTGTTTAGATGTTTCTTGGAATACTCTATGTTAAAAGCTGAACCCTGTTCTTCCAATTGCACAGACTAAACATCTGGCTGCCATCTGAGATGTTTCTCTTCTCATCCTACGTCCAATTTGTCAGCAAATTCAGTCTCTCATCCAGAGAAACTCACCTAAGATGTACTGTACCGGGGCTGGCGCCATGGTGCAGTAGGTTAATCCTCTCCTTTGGCGCCAGCATCCCATACGGGCACCGGTTCTAGTCCTGGCTGCTCCTCTTCCAATCCAACTCTCTGCTATGGACTGGGAAAGAAGATGGCCCAAGACCTTGGGGCACTGAACCCACGTGGGAGACCTGGAAGAAGCTCCTGGCTCCTGGCTTCAAATCAGCGCAGCTCCAGCCATTGCGGCCATTTGGGGAGTGAACCAATGGACGGAAGACCTTTCTCTCTGTCTTTCCCTCACTGTTTGTAACTCTACCTCTCAAATAAATAAATACTTTTTTTTTTTTTACTTGACAGGTAGAATCATAGACAGTGAGAGAGAGAGACAGAGAGAAAAGTCTTCCTTCCACTGGTTCATCCCCCAAATGGCTGCTACGGCCAGTGTTACGCTGATCCGAAGCCAGGAGCCAGGTGCTTCCTCCTGGTCTCCCATGCGGGTGCAGGGCCCAAGCACTTGGGCCATCCTCCACTGCCCTCCCGGGCCACAGCAGAGAGCTGGACTGGAAGAGGAGCAACTGGGACTAGAACTCGGCGCCCATATGGGATGTCGGTGCTGCAGGCAAAGAATTAACTAAGTGAGCCACGGCGCCGGTCCCAATAAATAAAATCTTAAAAAAAAAGATGCATTGATCATTTCCTTCTCTTGGCTGAGATTTCCATTTAATGATGTGCTGCAGTGTCAACTACAAGCTACCCAGTGTCCACCTACTTCTTACCCTATTCAAGTTATCCTCTTCTCTTCTAGATTATTAAAACAGCCTCCTAGTTTCTACTTTATAGCCTGATTTCTGCTTCAAAAGCCCCTTTGGTCATTTTAACAGGGCAAAGCAGTTCTGGGGAAATGGTATATTCTATCACGTCTAGTCTCCTAGTGGTTTCCCCCTCTGATCTCATCTCCAGTGACTCTTCCTCATCCATTCCATCTAGCCATAATGCCTCTGACTGGAACACTTTTCCCAAGACAGCTGTTATCACCTGTTGCCATGCTGATTCAGTCTTTCAACCAAATCATCCTCTAGGTGCAGTCTGTTCTGGACATAATCTAGAATTTCACGCACTCCACCTCTGAACTTCCACACGCCCTTCTTAGCTTCAACTTTTATTTAGCACTTATTAGAAAGACACCATGAAACCGAAATGCTTATCTCAATTGTTTATAAAATAGGGGCAACAATGCTTTTCATTTTTTCTCTTGTTCAGTATCTGTTCCCAGGGCCTAGAAGAATTAGCAGAACACAACAGGCATTCAACATGACCATATTCTGTGATCTCACAAGAGACATTACAGAAGCTAACAAAACTGCGTTCCTCACTTGCTATGGTGCCTCCCCAAAAACACACTGTCCCCTTTCTTGCTTCATGGCAGGCTCAGGTGGTGAACACTGAACAGGAAAAGCCATTTATGACAAGCAATGTTTCCTCCGGGAATAACAGGCTTAGACTTGAGTACGCGAGTACAATTATTGTCAGAGCAGGTGACTAGGAACTATTTTCCTCATTTTAAAAAAGAAAAGAAAACAACATGGGAAAACGGCTAGTTTGCAGCCATGAAGAGTGACATCACACAGACATTCAAGATGATATAGTTGAAAGACAGAAAACCTAAGTGGGTCCTTGGGAACTTTGTTATGGCAATTAGTCACCCATACTCCAAACCTCCTGATGAGTGAAATAAACCCTTTATCGTTTTAGTAGTCTTCCATTTTAATTTTAATACACAGAATTTTTTTTCAAGTGTTCACATTGTTTCCTGCAAACTACAATGAAGGTGAACAGAACTTGGCTGTCTATCCCTTTTTCAGGCTGTAAGCCTCCAGGACTGTCATACAACAGAACTTCAAGATATTTCAATGTAAGTCATGCTTCTCACAGGAATGTTACAAACACTGTGGATGCAATTAATTGGGAATTTAAAAAGAATATGACCAAAGCAAAGGCAGTTCAAATACAGAGCTTTAAAATAACTAAAATTGCAAAATCAGCTCCAAACCATTATATGCCTAAAAATGTTCTGTAGGACATTAAGTGCTCATCCACAGGAAGGAAAAAAGAAAAATGAAGTCAAGAGGACAATGGGAGGTAGAGAGAGGAAAAGAGGTCCCAAGAGAAAATAAACAGGGAATTAAGAAAGCAAAATTAAATAAGATAATTATGTTCCCTCTGTATGTGCACATACTCTGGAAAGCAGCTGGGGGACGTGATCCATTCACTGGAGATGTTCCTTTCATCCCTGAGGTAATCCCAGATCGGAGGAGAAAGGAGGAAGTCGATGACTAACGTGAGGAGTCCAAGTGCTGGTTTTGAGTCAAGGGGTTTTGATTTTTAACTCAAAGCCAACATGTTAATTAGTGCCAAAGCCATAACTATAATGACCCAAAACTAAAGCTCTTCAAGTTCTCAGTATGACACCCTAACAAACCAAAGTGCCTCCGCAGAGAAGTCTTATAAACTTTGAAAATTCTTATAAATTTATTAAGTCCTTTGTCAACCAAATTACTTCCTGTAGACAGAATGAGACCAGAAGGAAAAGGTAATAACCTTACTATACAATAAACTTAATTTTGTATTTAATACAATACCTATAATATATATTAACTATTTAATTACTCATAGCTCCATTCACTGTCATTTTTGGAAAATTGTTCTGATGAAGTACAGTTCTAGAAAATAATTTGTTTAAAGTCACTGAGAAAAGTAGAGATTTTATGCAAACTCTTCCCACCATATTCTCTAATAGCAAACAAAGCAGTAAAATTATTTTGTTGTTAAAAATATTATTTGTTGGTAAAACTTCATAAAGCAATCATTGGATCGATTTAACAAAGGACTTTTGTTCAGAAATGATGGGGGATCATCCAAGGCTAACTATAGGCTGATTTCAAGTTCAAGTCTCACTGCCTCCTGCTCTTCCTTGTTTCTTCTTTGGGTCAGTCTCTACATAGGAAATGAAGCAGGAGGGACAGCAGACGAAGGAATTAAAAGCCAGTCTTTAACTGATAGAATTAAAAAGGAGAGAACGATACAACATGGGAAGCAGGATACACAGCAGACTCACAGAATGGCAGATGTCCTATACAGCACTCTGGCCTCAGAATCAACCCTTAAGGCATTCGGATCTGGCTAAAAAGCCCATGAGAGTATTTTAGGCATGGAAAGCCAAGACACTCTGGCAAAAAAATAAAATAAAATAAAATAAAAAAATAAATAAATGAAAGATCTCTGTGAGATCCCAGTGGAAAGAAAGGGAAATCAAAGGTACCTTTCTCTGAAGGGAGGAGAGAACTTCCACTTTGGCTATGACCTTGTCTAAATAAGATCGGAGTTGGCGAACTCAAAAGGCTTCCATAGCCTTGGCAACTCATGACTAGAGCCTAGGGTGATTACTGACACCATAACCAAGAATGTCAATTGTTAAATCAACAACAGGAGTCAATGTGCACTTACTCCCTATGTAGGATCTCTGTCCTTAATGTGTTGTCCAATGTGAATTAATGCTATAACTAGTACTCAAACAGTACTTTACACTTTGTGTTTCTGTGTGGGTGCAAACTGTTGAAATCTTTATTTAATATATGCTAAACTGATCTTCTGTATATAAAGAGAATTGAAAATGCATCTTGATGTGAATGGGATGGGAGAGGGAGCGGGAGATGGGAGGGTTGTGGGTGGGAGGGAAGTTATTGGGGGGGAGGGGAAGCCACTGTAATCCAAAAGCTAAACTTTGGAAATTTATATTTATTAAATGAAAGTTTTTTTTAAAAAAAGGCCCGTTTTAGAAAGACAAATACCATATGTTTTCTCTGATTTTTGGCAGTTGATACAGAATACCAAAATATGTATAGAAATAAAATGGTCATTTTGGGGGCCAGCGCTATGGCACAGAGAGTTAATGCCTTGGCCTGAAATGCTGGCATCCCATATGGGCACCAGTTCAAGACCCGGCTGCTCCACTTCCAATCCAGCTCTCTGCTATGGCCTGGGAAAGCAGTAGATGGCCCGAGTCCTTGGACCCCTGCACCTGCGTGGGAGACCAGGAGGGAGCTCCTGGCTCCTGATCGGCACAACTCCGGCCATTGTGGCCAACTGGGGAGTGAACCAGCGGATGGAAGATCTCTCTTCTCCCTCTCTGCCTCTCCTTCTCTCTCTCTGTCACTCTTTCAAATAAATAAATAAATCTTTTTAAAAAAGTCAATAATCAGAAGTGACGGCAGAGTTAGGTATTCCCTCCTGGATCATCTACCACACCACAGTGCCTCAGCCCTTGCTAACTTCAATCCATTCACCTGTAAACACTGTCTTAACTCCAATGTGAGTAAAATCTTTAGGATTTTAAGTAGTGTCAAATAGACTTCTGTAAGTTTTAAAACAACCCTTTAGGAGTTATTCCCACTTATTAATTTTTATTAACTAGAAGCAAGTAAATAGCAGTTATTGACAACCATGCTAAATCGTATGTTATCTCCCTTAATCATTACCTATAAAGTAGATATTATCCAGTTTTACAGACAAGCTCAGAAAAGTTGAACTGAGGTAAGAGGCAGATCTGCAATTCAAATCCAGGTCATGTTTCTGCACTGCACAAGCACTATCCATAAAGCCTCCATATTGTCAGACCAATTGCTTTGGTTAGTCAGCCGCCTGACCTTTCCACACAAGATTAATAGTCTGTTTATAAATCACTGTTCATGTCTTGTGTGCCTAGAACTATGCTAAAACACAAAAGTAAATTTTTTAAGATTTATTTATTTATTTGAAAGGCAGAGTTACAGAGAGGCAGAAGCAGAGAGAGAGGGAGGGAGGGAGAGAGGGAGGGAGGGAGGGAAGTCTTCCATCGGCTGGTTCACTCCCTAGATGGCCACAACTGCCAGGGTTGTGCCAATCCAAGGCCAGGAGCCAGGAGCTTCTTCCAGGTCTCCCACACTGGTGCAAGGGCCCAAGGACTTGGGCCATCTTCCACTGCTTTCCCAGGCCATAGCAGAGAGCTGGATCAGAGCTCAAATCAGTGCCCACATGGGATGCTGGCATTGCAGGCGGCTGCTTTGTTGGCTATGCCACAGTGCTGGCCACAGACACAAATATAATTGTAAGACTTTGCCGACCCTGCTAGACTCCTTCACTAAAAACATGCTGTGGCAAAGTGTTAGTTTGAGTCCTAGCTACTCTGCTTCCAATTCAGCTCCCTACTAATGAACCTATGAAGCTGCAGATGATGGCTCACGTAGCTGAGTCCCTGCCATCCATGAAGAAGACCCAAATGGAGTTCCTGCCTACTGGCTTCAGCCTGGCCAAGTCCTGGCTGTTGAGGGCATTTGGGGAGGAAATTAGCAGAGCTAAGTTTCTCTGTCATCCTGCCTTTCAAGAAATAAATAAGTAAATAAATAAATCATATATACTCCTAGAGTATGTATGGGTGTGTATGTGTGGGTGTTCATAGGGTAGTCTAGCTTCTGACAGTTTCTATTGGCAAATTCACCAAATACTCTGCCCCCCCACCCAAACACAGCATAAAGACCCTGAAATTTCCCTGCCAGAATAAAGCCTACTAAAACTTTGTGCAGCAGTATCTTTAGGACTTTTTAAGTATCAAAAAACTGAGGAACTGTTGATACTTTAAAAATAAGTCTTGACCCAGTAAAAACTGGCACCTAGCCTTTTATTTTTCTTCCAGTCAGCAAAACTTTAAACCTATAAAAATTCAAATAGTACTTAAGGCCATGCATTTTGAAGTAGTTCCATTTATGGTGAGTCACTTCCAAACTCAGACTTTATACTGAAAACTTATTTTTAACCTGGGTATGCAGGCAGAAGTCACTTTTAAAGCCTGTAACTGCCACATGATGAAACACAAAGCAAGTCCAGGTGAGGTTTTATCAATTTTTTTTTTTTATCTGAAAACTGTCTGTCTTCCCTAGGGAAAAAATAAACACTATTACTGACTCTAATGTACCACCCTGCTTTAAGTTCAAAGAAATTTAGACATTGCTATTCCTAAGCCAGAACTGATCTAGAACTCTACAAAAATGGAATGAAGGCCAGATAATCACCAAAGAAACACAGTAAGCAAGTGTGTACTGGGAAAGGAGAATTGGAGGAAGTGGTAACTATATCAGGAGGTGGCAGATGCTAACTAGTTCAGACTTCATAGGAATTCAAAAGCATGGACCAGGGTTTGTGAAAACTCTTAAAAGTAAAAGCGAAAAAAGAAAAACAGAAAACATAAGGAGGAAAGTGTTCTAATTTAGGAGGTGCTTCTGAGTAAAACAGTCATTCTCTTAAGACCCATTTATTTCTTCCAAAAAATATATCAAGATTAATGTCAACAGCATGTGATCTTGCTATAAGATCACACTGATGAAATACAGTATATATTTCCTCATTTATTCTGTATAATATTCCTGGATGAAGGTTGTATCCTCATCCTACAAATCAGGAAACTGAAAATCAGGTAAAATAAGTGCCACAGTCTATGGGGAAACCCAGGGCTTAAATATAAATCTTTGAATTGTAAGACCACCATTCGCCACTCTACCACATTACACTGTGGCCATGATGGTGCCTGCTCTTAATGTCTACATAAAGAGGTAAAAGAAAAATATCAGTCACCCTCCACATCCACAGGTTTGACATCTGTGAATTCAACTAACTGTATATTGGGGTTTGAGGAGCGTGGGGAATGCATTACATCTATACTGGACATATACAGACTTTTCTTCCCCATGTCATTATTTCTCAAACAAAACAATATCTCTATTTACCCAGAATTTACATTATATTAGATGTCCTAAGTAACCCAAAGGTGATTCAATGTATAGAGAAGGATTGTGTAAGTTACATACAAATATTATACTGTTT